CACTTCGACTCAATCTGTTGCCGGTAGTGGTCGTGTACGCTAGTGAGTGGTCCATCTCGGCTGCCCTGATGCAGGAGCACGACGGGATCCACTGTCCAGTAACGTTCACCAGCCGCACCCTGAAGTCAAACGAGCTTAACTACGGCGTGGTTGAGAAGGAGATGTTGGCCCTGTTGCAGATCCTGGATCTGGGTTACAACATGTTGGTGGGACTCCCGATCCGAGTCTTGATTAGACATTCGACGATGGCCTGGTTGTTCAGATCCACGGGCCTACAAGAGCGATTGGGACAGTGGGCGGCTCTGCTCTCGCCGTGTACCCTCGAGATTGCGAAGTACACGAAGGGCGAAGATGAGATCCTGGGAGCTCTGGCAGCCAGTATTACACCTAGATCCAAGGTGGATCGGGCTTTGATCGAAATTGTGCCCAAGAAGGAGCCACGGCGCAAGATCCAGGCGCCAATTCAGACAGTCCGGCCTGGTGAAGAACTGTATGTGGTTAGCTTTGACGGATCCGCCTATGCCAAACGTGGTGGAGGCGCACACAGCGCGATCCTGTGGAAGTTGCCGGAATGGACTGTGGTGAAGGCTAGATCCGGCTATGCTGAGGGGCTTACCGTTAATGAGGCGGAGTACCATGGGCTTCTTCTATGTTTGGATCTGCTCGAAGGCGAGGCACAGCGACGATTGGTGATCTGTGGAGATTCCAACCTGGTGGTTCGCCAAGTCCGAGGTGAGATCGACTGCAAGGCGCCAGGATTGACCCTTCTGAGACAGAAAGCCCTGGATCGGCTGCGGATCTGGCCGGACCACGAGCTGGTACATGTCAAGCGCGACTGGAACGGCAGCGCGGATAGCCTAACCAGCACAGCACTTCAACGGCAAGCCGGGATCATGGTGGAGGGCGAGGTGGATCTACAGGATCTGATCACGCTGAATCGACTGGATGAGATCCTGGTTGTGAAGAGTGAGGAAGATGCTCCTGTCGCTCGTGTATCACCTGTGATAACCTGATCACATGTCAGATCCAGATCCAGCCCTACTCTCTTACAGGAGCAAGTAGTGCGGGATCTCAGGATCGCCAGGATTCGCCAAGCGCAGGTCGAGGAGGCGTGGATCTCCGGCCTAAAGAAGTACCTGGTGGGCAATATGCAGGAACTGGCACAAGAGGAGGCCAGATCCTACAGCGCTATTGCGATGGATTATGAAGTGGATCTCCACGACTTGCTGTTCTACTGCCCTCCGACGAAGAAGATGGACGCGGATCGCGATGGGTTGATGAGGTTGGTGCTCCCGGAGACCTTACAGCAAGATGTGCTCCATCCGTACCACGTCAGCCTGGAAGGGGGTCACCAAGGAATCGGCCGCACCTACCAGCGAATCCGGGATCGCTTTCACTGGAGATGTCTGTATCGGAGTGTTCAAAGATATGTCGGAGGGTGTGTGGATTGCGAAACGGGCAAAGGACGACCTACGATCCAAGGTGAGTCGCCTGGTAACATCCAAGCCACATACCCGTTCCAGATCATAGCGATGGATCATATACCGTCGCTGCCCAGATCCAACCAGGGTAATACCGAGTTGTTGATCGGGGCGGATCTGTTTACGGGATACGTGATCGCGAAGGCCAGCGACTCCAAGACGGCGCAGACGATCGCGGAAACCTACGAAGAGTGTGTATTCAGACGATTTGGTGATTCGCCGCGACCGCGAGCCGGAGTTCATGGCCGACTTCTTTAGATCCTTCAACAAGATCCTTGGTCAGCGACAACGTGCGACGATGGCGTACAGGCCGCAAGCAAACGGAACCGCTGAGCGCATGGTGCAAACCGCCACTCGCGCTCTGAAGATGTACGTGCAGGATCGGGATCAGCGCGATTGGGACGACTACGCTGAGCGTCTCACCTTGGCACTCAACACCGCCCAGGATCTGATCCGAGGAGAGATGCCATTCTACTTGGTACATGGCTGGGATCCTAGATCCTCGCTCGAGGCTACGATCCCGGTGGGCAGCACTCGCCGTCAGGATCGGGATCCGAGGCGGTGGTGATACCAGACCCAACGCTATTATCAGCAGGCACGGGTAAAAGTCAACGCGCGACTGCAAGAGGCGATCTCGGATCGGGCGGACCGGCACAATGAAGAGATCCGTCCGCACCAGATTGAAGTTGGATCCAGAGTTTGGTTATATTTGGATCGGGTGAAGGATGGATATGCACGCAAGTTGGCTCACATGTGGCACGGTCCGTTCCGAGTGGCGGAAAGTTGGGAGAATACGCTGTGCGGATCGAGACCCCTGGCACGGAATATCGGCTGTTCCCTGAGGTACATGTTTCCAAGTTGAAGCTTGTGAGGAACTTCCCAGACCGACCCCAGATCCAGTTGACCGAAGGCACTACAGATCGATTTGATTTTGATGAAGGACAGTTGGATCCAGGATCTGGATGAAAACGAGTACGAAGTGGAGAAAATTACGGACATGAGAACTGGAAAACGCACTCGTTACGGCCGGATCCATCGTGAATTCTTGGTACACTGGCGCGGATATGAAGATCCATCCTGGGTAGATGAAGCGGATCTCAATTGTGGCGCTATACTATATGAGTTTCTGCGGAGCCGCACCAACCGGAACCGGTTCGGTGTGATGTAGTCCCACGAGCAGTAATGGGGGCTGCGGTCTCCTGGAGTGAGTTGGTCACTTTGGGTAGAGAGTGCGGTGATGGATCTGCAAGGTGGTTGCAGATCGGTGGATTGGGAATTTTGTATTTGTGTATGGAATAACAAGGTGTTCGTTGCACTCGAGTGAGGTGGAAGAAAGAATAATCTGGCGGTGATAAGGGCGCCTCAGCTGAATCTGGAGTAGAGTGTAATTATGGATCTGGATCGCAAAGAGGTGTGGTATGGATCCGGATCTACAGTCTCGAGCTGTATTGGAGTGCAAAGGTGGATCGGGGTAGCGAGAAGCGGACTGGGTTGTCGTGATATGAGGAGCGACGTCGGATTGGAGATGAAAGAGAAGGCACGAAGAGAAGCGAAACGAGTGTATGATCGCCGACTACAACATGCAGAAGTACATTCAGATCCCGCGTAATTAGCTCAACTGCAAGGATCCGTGGATCTCGATCTACTTGAGATCTGGCACCGTGGATCCAACCCTTACTGGTCGCCAACTGCGCGGAGATTGAAGAACTTGGCCGGGAGGCGCGCAATGTTGCGCGCAGGATGATATTGAGGAGTGTCTCGGTAGTGATTGCGCCATGGATCTTCATCGTTACACTCGTCCAGTGCTTCCGGGAGATCCGTCGCCGGCCGGTTCAAGTTAGGGTCAGCCAAGTTAGCTTGTCGTGATGTTAAGCCTTGATACGAGGTGACGGAGTCGGCACGTCTGGGGGAGTGGAGGAAGTGGGGATCCAACAAGATGTCCAGGTCACACCAGCCCTCGCGCATGACGGTGATCAGCAGCACCAAGAACTGCTTCAACGCCCGACCAGCATGGGATCGGCGGTTACTGCGCTCTTTTTTGAAAGTCACGAGCCACGGATACTTCCTGGCCATTGCGCCAGGAATGCGGAAGTGATGAGTGGACTCCCAGTAGGACATGAGGTGAGTGTCCTCGTAGATCCCATACTCGTGGATCAGGATCCCAAGCCGCTCACCTACATTTACCTCGAACGAAATGGCATTTCCAGGGTTTTCGAGAATTTCCCAAGGGCGAGTGCTGAGCAGAGCCTTTACATTGTCCTCCGTGATGAGTTCTGAGCAATAGTCAGTAAACCGGATTTTCGGCCGGCGGAGGATCCACGAAGGGAAACAGCCAACCAGGGGCAGTAGGCAGGATCGAGAACAGCACGTCGATCAACATGGACACCATGGCCACGTCGTTCAGTTCTTCCACCAACCACGGGTTGCAGTCTGCCGGTACTAGCACGTGTGGGCGCTCCGAACCGGGGATACAGTCCGCACTGGGTGCAAAGGTCGCCACCGGTGCCAGAGGATCTAGCGCAGGCGGTTGGCCCGCTGGATCTGAGCGACGACTATGTGGATCAGGATCTCGCTGTTGAATCGGATCTGGATCTCGCTGGGGAACTGGATACGGATCGTCGTGTGGATCCGATCCATCATCTCCGTCCGGAGGTTCGCCCGCACCGCTGGCAGTCAAGGAGCGGTGAGGAGAAGCGTGCTGCCGTCGGCGCTCTTCGGATCTCGATTGGGAGAGTCCCTCCAACGTCTGAGCTTCAAACAGCTCGTTCGCCATTTCCTCGTCCTCCTCCTCGTCGCTGGCCATTTCGTCGTCGTTCTCCTCCCCTTCGTTGTCGTCCTCCTCGCGGTTGTCGTTGCTCTCTTGATCATTTTCCCCCTTATTTTCCTCGCGGTCGCTATCGTTAGCGTGGGGATCCTTGCCGGCGCCGAGGCGTTTGCTGGAGTCATGATCTCTCTGTGTGGCATGTCCACCTTCTTCAGCAGGTGAATCCTGATGACCCCCGTCGTCGTCGATCTCGCCATCGGCGTCCCTGTCATCGGGAAGAGATGGGGAGAGAATACGTCGCTTGGCAGGAGGGTCGGGATCCGGATCGGAGGTTTCTGCATCCCGATCTCGTTTGGAACGTCTGGACTCAGGTCGCGTATGGGACCCCGTAGCCGCCTCTGGATCTGGGTCCCCTTGGCCTGGATCCGAACTTGCCCCTGCGGATGGCTGCCCAGCCGACCCAGGAGGCGCCACTGGGATCAAACCTAGAATGTACGCTGGATCCACCACGTCTTCGGTCGCGTTGGGTCGGGCATCGGCCAGGGCGCGTATGGAAGACAGCTGCCATCGCGCGACGTTCAGCTCTCGTTGCAGTTCGTCTCGCTCGTGGCTCATGCGGATAAGATCCTGAGTCCGCGACCGACGCTGAGACTCGATGGCTTGCACGCGCTACCTTAATGAAGTCACTGTCTGCTCGGAGGCGTCGAAATCAGCTCGAAGATCCCTGAGCTCCGAGTGCACTTGGTCCACCTCACCATGAGAAGCGTCACGTTCTCGACAAACTCGAGCTAGATCCGCGACGGTCGTCTCCTGGAGATCCCGTGGGCGAGTGAGTTCGGGATTGTGGTGAGGTTGGACCGCTTGATCCAGATCCGCCAGGGTAGCCGTGAGAACGGCTCGAAGGCGGTTCAACTCCTCGCGAGCATCGCGGTGCATGCGCTGATGGGCACTTAGATCCTCCTGAGCCTTCACGAAATTTCGTGTGACCTCGGCCAGAGACGTATGACTGCGAATCCGATCCAGAGTCAGAGTCAGAGCCTCAATTTCTTGGCGGTCCGCTGGGGGGGGGGGGGGCTGGATCCTGGATCCCTGGCTTCTGACACGAGGCGGTCCCCAGAAAATTGCCGACGATGTGCCGTCACCTCTGTGACCTGGAGTTTGTATCGGATGCTGATTGGTGGATGACTTGGATACGGCGCGGCTGTACCCGTGTGACATGGATGGCGACTGTGGGAGAGAAGTGATTTCTCGGGATGAATCCAGCGTCTGACCGCAGATGGGCCCAACTGACTGGAAGTGTGAATCCTGGGAGTGCACGCCCAGAATTTCAGAGAACACTCAGCCCAGCCGCGGACTTTCCCTTACGATGAGTGCCTAAAGTCTGGCGGAAAGTGTCTCTGGAGAATGTATCCCAGAGTACACCTCATCTTGCTGTGGCTCAGAGTGCCCCAGAGGATCAAATTACCCTGGGAATCAACCCACTACCACTGTGACCATGCGCAGGAGGCCACTAAACCCACTAAAAGTGTGGCTTTGAGGAGATACACACGAGTCTGCACTGCAGCAGACTTGTTACCCAGAGTGCCGCACGGAAAACCTAGAGTGCCGCACGATGACCCAGAGTTTACCTCCCTGAGTGCAGGTGACCCAGAGTTCCAAAGATGATTCCCTGGGTTTGGACCATAAATCCAGACTCTCTATACTGAACTTAAGTGTTTCCCGAGCCAACACCCAAGAATCCCCACAATTCCCCAAGATTCCTCAGAATTCCCAGGATTTCAGAAGATGACCCTGAGTGTCACCTGATTTTCAGGGATTCGAGTCAGTTCGAAGTCAGTCTGCAATCAAAGTGATGCGTGACCTTGAAGAACCGTCATGGATGCACAGACTGGATACTTTCGAGGAGTCGAGAGGGAGTCCTGTACCATACTAAACCAAGACATTTTGACCCCAAGCATAGTGAACAGAAGATATTTGCCCGAAGAAGAGAGAGAGAGAGAGAGAGAGAGAGAGAGAGAGAGAGAGAGAAGTAGCTGATAAAAACCAAACAGAGTTCCTTTTACCCTGTACTGCGCAAGTGACTTCGGCCAAGCCTGCCGACGGAAATCCGGAGGACCCGAGACTACGACCACGGGACGCTAAGGGCATATCAACGGCGAAGGACAGCCGTCTGTGTGGGCTCCATCAAACTCAAGTCCAGTTAGGTGGTGACCAGCGACGGCCGTGAGTTTCCTGGGGTGATCCATCTATTCCATATCCTAGTTGGGTCACTTGCTGTGCTCGTGGTAGCCCATTTCATATTATTCCAGAGGGTATTCTGGGGTGCTAGGTAGTCGCCTCCAGGATTTTGTATTGACTGCTTGTGTGAAGGGAAGGTAACTGATAGTGATTGTATTTTCCTCGTTTATTGGAGGTGGTGCGCGTTTGTGTGAGTATCAGGGGAGCTAGGCCCCTGAATTTCAGACTCGAGTGAGCCTAGTGTGTGTGTGTGACCCACCGTCCAAGGGTCCAAAAGAATAAGTGACGGCTAGTTGTAGTGTTTGTATACTCTGTATTTGTAGGTTTTATCGAGCTAGGAGACATTTGGGTAAGGTGTCTTCTGAGTTCCAAGTCCCAGAGTTGACTGAAAACCTGGACCCTGAATTCGTGATATTCTGGGTTTCAGGGGATCTGATTCTCTGGGTTTGCCTTTTGGTGTGGAGGTGCGTTCTGAAGTAGACGTGCGCCTCCCGCACTTCTTCGAGGCTACATTTTCAAACGGTGGAGTGCCGTTCCGTCGAAGACAAACGAGCCGACAGGGATTACACAAGGTACCCACATCAACCAAGGAGTGTGATTCTCAGGGTTTAAAGCTTTGCGGCTGCGAATCTCTGGGTCTATCTTCTTGCTGTTGACTCTCAAGTCGATTCTCTGGGTCTACCCCTGGGGAACAGTCTTGGGCTGCGCTATACGAACCCCCCCCCCCACTGGGCGACAAAGGTTTCATCGGCCTCGCCTCACTTCGAGCTTCGCTGCAACTCGTTGAAGAGCCTCCTGCGCACAGCGTGAGCTTTGCTCGGCTAGGTCATGCTCGTTGTTTGCATCTTGCAAGTCACGCTCTTGATCCGAACTCCGACGCTGAAGATCTTGGATCTTGGCACCAGCAACGGCTACTTCGGTTGCCAGGTGATCGGTATTCTCCTGCAAACGATCTCGTTCGCGCTTAATCCGCTCAACGTGACACCGGAGATCCTGGATCTCGCTTGCCTGTTGAACCACTTGGCATTGAACCTGGAAGGCGCGAGCCAAACTGGCTGCTGAATTGCCCCCCCCCCCCCCCCCC